ATTTCTTTGTGAGTGGGCAAACATTCAAAATCAGCAGGGGATCAAATACTTATTTCCTTCACTGTATATAAAAAATTAAAGGAACACTTTGAAAACACATCAGCAGATCTCAATGGGGAAAAATATCATCCTGGATATCTATACTGGTATGGACTGAGTAATATGTTAGGAACATAAGGATGCCCCATCTTTTGATGGAAATTAAAATGATCAACTTACAGAGGACTGAATTCAGACACCCTGAAAATCAAAGTGAAAAAAATGATGCAGCAGGCTGGTTCAATTTGCTGCAATTTCATTGCAGCAACTCAAAATGGAACCCAGTAGTTTGTATGGCCCCCATGTGCTTGTATGCATGCCTGACAACATTGAGGCATGCTCCTAATGAGACGACGGATGGTGTCCTGGGGAATTTCCTCCCAGATCTGGACCAAGGATATCACTGAGCTCCTGGACAGTCTGAAGTGCAACCTGGCAGCGGCGAATGGACCGAAACACAATATCCCAGAGGTGTTCTATTGGATTTAGGTCAGGTGAGCGTGGGGGCCATTCAATGGTATCAATTTTTTTATCCTCCACAAACTGCCTGCATACTCTCGCCACATGAGGCCGGGCATTGTCATACACCAGGAGGTACCCAGGACCCACTGCACCAGTGTAAGGTCTGACAATGGGTCCAAGGATTTCATCCCAATGCCTAATGGCAGTCAGGGTGCCATTGTCTAGCCTGTAGAGGTCAGTGCATCCCTCCTTGGATATGCCTTCTCTGGCCATCACTGACCCACCACCATGCTGAATGATGTTACAGCATAACGTTCTCCACGACTTCTCTAGACCCTTTTACATCTGTCACATATGCTCAGGGTCAACCTGCTCTTATCTGTGAAAAGCACGGTGCCAGTGGCGGACTTGCCAATTCTAGTGTTCAATGGCAAATGCCAATCGAGCTTTACGGTGCTGGGCAGTAAGCACAGGGCCCACTAGAGGATGTCGGGCCCTCAGGCCACCCTCATGAAGTCTGTTTCTGATTGTTTGGTCAGAGACATTCACACCAGTGGCCTGTTGGAGGTCATTGTGTAGGGCTCTGGCAGTGCTCATCCTGTTCCTCTTTGCACAAAGGAGCAGATACCGGTCCTGCTGATGGGTTAAGGACATTCTATGTCCTTGTCCAGTATGTCTCCTCCATACTCTTCAGACTGTGCTGAGAGACACAGCAAACCTTTTGGCAATGGCAAGTATTGATGTGCCGTCCTGGAGGAGTTGGTCTTCCTGTGCTACCTCTGTAGGATCCAGGTAACGCTTCATGCTGCCAGCAGTGGCACTGACCCTAGCCACATGCAAAACGTTTAAAAAACAGAAAAGATGAGTTGGGAAAAAAATGTCAGTGGCTTCCACCTGTAAAACCATTCATGTTTTGGGGGTTATCTCATTGTTTCCCATCTAGTGCACATGTGAATTTCATTAACATCGAAGCAGCTGAAACTGATCAGATCAATATCCCAGGAGTTTGACTTGATGAATATACTCTGATTAAAAAGTGTTCCCTTAATTTTTTTGAGCAGTGTGTGTATATATGTGTATATAAAATAAATATATATATATATATATATATATATATATATATATATATATATATAAAATAAATATATATATATATATATATATATATCTGCCTGCAGTCTGGAACCCATGGACATTACCAAAGACTGGGTTTCCTCCTTTCTTATGCTTTTCTAGACTCTAACTGCAGCTGTCTTCAGTTGTTCTATGCTTGTGGGTCTTTCTGCCTTTAGTTTTGTCTTCAGCAAGTGAATTGTATGCTCAGTTGGGTTGAGATCAGGTGATTGACTTGGCCATTGCAGAATATTCCACTTCTTTTCCTTCAAAAGCTCCTGGGTTGCTTTTGCAGTGTGTTTTTGGATCATTGTCCATCTGTACTGTGAAGCTCCGTCCAATCAACTTTGCAGCATTGGGCTGAATCTGGGCTGACAATATATCTCTAAACACTGCAGAATTCATTCAGCTGATTCTGTCTTCTGTCAAATCATCAATAAACACCAATGACTCCGTGCCACTGGAAGCCATGCATGCCCATACCATCACACTGCTTCCTCCATGTTTTACAAATGACGTTGTGTGCTTTGGATCACAAGCTATTCCAAGCCTTCTCCACACTTTTTTCTTCCCATCATTCTGGTACAGATTAATCTTAGTTTAATCTGTCCAAAAATGCTTTTCCAGAACTGGTCTGACTGTTATAGATGTTTTTTGACAGTCTAATCTGGCTTTTCTATTGTTCAGGATTATGAATGGTTTGCACCTTGTGGTGAACCCTCTGTATTTGCTCTTGTGAAGTCTTCTCTTGATTGTAGACTTTGATAATGATATGCCCACCTCCTGAAGAGTGTCCTTCACTTGTCTGGATGTTGCAAATGGATTTTTCTTTACCATAGAGAGAATCCTGCGATCATCCACCACTGTTGTCTTCCGTGGATGTCCATGTCTTTTTATGTTGCTGAGCTCACCAATGCGTTCTTCTTTCCTCAGAATGTAGCATACTGTTGATCTGGGCACTCCTAATGTTGCTACTATCTCTCTGATGGATCTGTTTCTTTTTTGAAGCCTTACAATGGCCTGTTTCACTTGCATGGACAGCTCCTTTGAACGCATGATGTAGGTTCACAGCAATAGATTCCCAATGCAAATACCACACTTAGAATCAACTCCAGACCTTTTACCTGCTTAAATGAAGAAATAATGAATGAGTAGTCCACACCTGGCTATGAAACAGCTTTTTATTCAATTGTCCAATTACTTTTGGTCCCTTGAAAAAGGGGGGATGGCTACTCTTAAGAGCTGCAATTCCTAAACCCTTCCTCCAATTTGGATGTACATACCCTCAAATTAAACCTGAGAGTGTGCACTCTCAGCCCATATCCATAATATAAACTACTGTATAGCTTAACCACCTCCCATACAGCCATTGTATATAAACGGCCGGGCGGTGGCAGTGCAGGGTCAGGTGGCCTTTTATAAAAGGCCTCCCCGCCCCCTGCTTGTGCACGCTCCCTGCCCATAGCCATTCTGCCCATAGCCATTATATAACTATAGCTTGAATATGTTTTGGTAAATACCTAAAATATATATACATACTGTCACCAGTCAGTGTCCTTGATCACTGCCACACTTGAAAAAACAATTGTGCAAAAAAAAAAAAAAAAATGTTTTTTTAATTTCTTCATTTTCCAAAAACTGTGAAAAAAAAATTACAACTTCAAAAAACTCACCATGTCTTTTACTAAATACCTCAAACTGTCTTTGTTTCAAAAAGAATACATTTGGGGATATTTGTACTGTCTTGGCATTTTCGGGCCTCAAGAAATGAGATGCCAGTACATCAGGATTAATCTATTTTCAGATAAATACAGTATGCCATAATTTGTGGACTGTATAACTTTCCTACAGACTAAGTAGCAAAAACTGATTTGGGTTATTTTCACCAAAGGAATGTAGCAGAATACAGTTTGTCCTAAATTTATGAAGAAAAATTATTTATTTGTAAAACTAAGAAACGAAGAAAAACTAATTTTATTTCCAAATTTTGGTCTTTTTTCATTTATTTAGGAAAAAATAAAAAACCCTGTTGTGATTAAATACCACCAAAAGAAAACTCTGTTTGAAAAAAAAAATGATAGATAATAAAAATTTGATATGGGTACAGTGTTGCATAACCGCACATTTAAAGCGTGACAGTGCTGAAAGCTTAAAATTGGCCTGGGCAGGAAGGGGATGAAGAAAGTGCCCTCTACTGAAGTGGTTAAGAAACGGAACACTGTTTTAGGCAGACGGTAACAGTCCAATGCAGAGAAACACCGTTCCAAACAATCTTAGAAGAAATACAGGAAGTTTTTGTGACCATGTGTTTCCACAAGAAGGAAGATGACACAAAGCTTGGTTGTAGAATATGCATATGCACATACAGAACGCTGTGTTAATTATATTCCTTTTGACTATTCTGGCTCCGTTTGTTTTAATAGTAACTTATCCCTTCTGGAGACCTCTGTGCATTCATGAATATCTTTACTGCACGCAGAGGGAACAATATGATGTGGTAGGTGTTGGCATTTACAGTGTTTGAAGGTCAAAAGGAATATTTCTTTCTGAGCCTCAATATGCATCTTGCAGGAACAATACAGGAACTTACGATGAGGAAGGAAGGAAATTACAACCTCAATAAGAGGGAAGGATACACGGAAAATTGAGTGTACTTAAAACAATGACCACAGGGTGAGGACTGGGTCACACTAGGAATTGTACAGGAACTCGCTGAGTGTTCCTGTGTGATTCAAATGCAGTTCAATGCAGTGCAATATGAGTCTATTGATTTTTAAAGGAGCTCAAATTGCACTGCACCCTGCACCAACAGTTGTGCACTACTTTTGGAAACACACTGCAACCGGATCACATGGAACCTCTGTAACATGCAATCCGGTGCAAGCAAACGCAGTGCGTTTGCGACCAGTGTCTGGGGTGTCATTAACATTGATACCCACTGCAGATTGCAACTGCAGTGCATTTTGAACATAGTGCAGAAAAAGCACATGGAACAAAGGTTTCCTGCACTGTGTTCTGGTGTGCACAGGGTCTGGCAACATAATGATAAAAAGTTCACTTAGTGAAACATAAGAAATAAACTTAAATGCAATTGCATGTTCATATAAATGCTGGAAGCAGTGCAATGTGAGTACAGTACATATTTACAAATATAAAAATTTGGGGGGTTTTTTGGGTTAGGTTCTGATTCCCTTCATATAGAGAGTTGGGATTTATGGGTAATATTTTCTTTTGTATTTTGTTAACTGTAATAAAATCTGATTTAACAAATTTTAACACACAAAAAGATGTTTTTAATTTACTGCAGAAATATAAAAGTAATTAAAATGTATTCTTAGTGTTGTATGTGACTGATACAAACTTAATACCAACTTATGGTTATCTAGGTGTCACCTTGGCTAATGCTATGGTAAATGAAGGACTGACATCTTTTAAGAAAATAGAAGATACAAACCCCAGAGAGTTGGAGCTGGTATGTAAGACCTGAGTTTGTATGCTATGTGCAAAATATCTGCAGTTTATTAGTAATATCAAGGAAACAAATAAACATAGTTTGTTGTAACAATAAGGGCTTGTCTGACCAAACAATTGATTTGTCTTTGCTTTTAGTAAATAGCTTGAAGCTAATAAAAAAGGGCATATTTTCCCCCACTTTATTATTGATTTACTATTATGCAGATAGTGAAAAAACCCTAAATACTTTGTCAAGATGCTTCAAGGCCATAAGTACATTTAGTCCTGAAAATCCCAGAATCCTATAATTTCCCTAAAGATGCTGCAAGAAATTGTCTGTGTACAAATATTATAATGTAAACAGTCTACGATCAATTTCCTAGCATTAGCATTTATTGATGTAGAAAGCACTTCTTAAGAAACTTTCCAGAGGCCCATTTTTAATTTCAGTATTGACACTAAACATTGCTAGGCTGCTGTAGGCCAGAACTACATTAACTGAAAACTGGGACTGACTGAAAATTATTCACTGCCTTCTCTTTGATTCTGCCAGTGAAGAATTTCTATGGACTACGCCAAGATATGCTAAATGTGGAGACCCCCTCACACTTCACTTTTGTCTTCCTTTCAGGACATCCTCCTTACAGCCCCCTTTTTCTCTTTTCATGCCCCTTAAAGTGACTTTATTGTTAAACTCTATTTGTAAAGAAGAATTAAATCAGTGTGGAAATAGACATTCTGGGAGTGCAAATCATCAGTGCCCACTGCTTACTCCCCACTGACGTCTCAAATACTACTGTCTTGTAGAGACGTGGGGGTTGGTGGGAAGAACCATTGAGGTGGCATAGAAGATCAACACTACTGGAGTGTTGGTTTGTGCATAGACTTCAGGCAGTTAGAAATAAAGGTCTTCATACCACTATTATCTGCACTATTGCAACCAACAATAAATTTGTTTTAGGGTACTTAACCCCTTTCACAGTGTATCAGTCTGCTAATACAATAATTTTAAATACACAAAGTATGCGTGTAATGCTTTTGCAATAAAGTTGGATGAAGCATATAAGTACAATTATACAATAGGTACAAATATCCAATTACATTAAGCATACTACAGAATAAGCATTTGCTTCACTGTCAATTCCAATCTATAACCAAAATTAATACATGCATATACATTATTTTTATTCAAGATTTATATTGTGCTAACCGTTTGCACAGTGCTTGACAACATGAAGGCAGACAGTGCAGTTATAATACAAACCAATATGGGAGGAATCAGAGGGCCCTGCTTGTTAGAGCTTGCAATCTAAGAGGGAGGGTCAAGTAATACAAAAGAAACAGGGATAATACAAATGGACTTTATAGGCACAAAGACTACATACACATGTTAGTAAAATCAGTATTGCTTTATTTGATATCACGTCACATATAAACCATAGTGTTAAAAGACTTGTTAAGTGATATCCCCGCAATGTCCCAAAGCCCACCATGTAATAAAGAAACACAGCCAGTGATGAAGCATGGAAATAACCACCAGGATGATCTTATAGGGGAGTGAGGGACATTCTAGCGCTGGAGAGTTTGCCCAAGATGTTTCGCGACAGCAGTTTCTTCCTCATCGGCTAATTGTATATCATAAAGAGATACATAAACTTAGATAAACACAACAAAACAAGAAGTCATACAGACATAATGCATAAACGAACATAAAATACCATTATGCATGCACCAGACAGTCTTGAGCCCTCCAGTCAGTGAGAGCAGGCCTCCTCTATGTACCTGTTCTCTCTCTCCAATCTAAGCATTGAAAGTGTGATCTCTGTAACTTACAGTTGTGATAAGATAGTGATAACCCCAATCTCAGTTGGATACCACAGTCAGTGACTCAGTTGAGCTGATATCTTGTAGATCTTGTGAAGTTTATTTCATAAACTGAGAGAATCTTACAACAAAGAACATTTGATAGGTCAAAAGATCATAATGTGTCCTGCTTCATGACATGAGGCTAAAGCTGCAATGCATTACTAGGAAGGGGGTTAGCTATCTATACAGCATTAAATAGTAAAATTGCGCACTCACCGGACGCGCTATAAACAAGCGCATATGTTGTATGACCCCTGGAAATCCCTCATCGAGCGGGGATCCCTCTGATGATGTGCAGTGGCACGAAAGGCCTTAGGAGGAGCCAACAGAGCGTGACATCTTAGCCGCCTGGAACCACGAGGAGGCCCGGCGGCCATCTTACTTTTGGGTCAGTCACACTTTACTCTTATCATTCACTGTCTGAGTGTTTCTGCCCTGTTTTTATCTATCATATTTTTGAAATAAATTTTTTGATTTTACCTACTACACTATGAGATGTTTTTTGGCTCCTATTGGAGCTAATAAATTTTAGGACATCCTATTGCTCATCTTTACCACCGGAGGGAGTTCCTTACTCATATATTCACCCAGTCTTAAGGGGATTCCTGGACCTGGAGGCTGTCCATTACACCAGGATTATCTGCTCCCGGATGGTTATCTATCTTCCCCGCTCGATGAGGGATTTCCAGGGGTCATACAACATATGCGCTTGTTTATAGCACGTCCGGTGAGTGTGCAATTTTACTATTTGATCCTGGCTTTTTAAGCTTCTACACAAGATCCTGCGATAACTTGTCTGGACATTATTATCAATATTATCAATTTCATCTGATGTATTGGTTATTTTCTCTATTTAGTGCTATATACCACATTGTGTTTCAGATCATCTGAGATATATATATGTGTTCATAGATCTTATATTTACTAGCGCTGCACTTTTTATTTTTGTGTATTTTTGAAGGTTTTACTGTGATTGCCTTGGGTGCATTGGCTGCTGATGGGAGAGCGCTCACTTTTTTATTTTTTCTTATCTATACAGCATTAACTAAACTAAAGGAAAAGGAGGAGCAGAGACAAAATATAGAAAACACTTAAAGGCATATGATAGTCAATATGACAGTCATGTGAAACATGACACTCCCCGGCAAAATCTATGATTTGTATTATAACAAACTTTTGGTCCAATATAAGAAATGAAGATTCTTTCCAGGAACATCTGCAAAACAAGAGGGAAGGGAAGAACAAAGGAAAACAATGCAAACATTTAGCATATACTTGCAGATGTTGGTCTCGAAAGTGCAAGCTGAGACATGGAGATCCATATTCAGAGGGGAAGGCAGCAACATGCACATTCCTTTTTACCTAGCTTTAAATTAAGTTGATGATTTGTCTTCCTGTTTGGGCAAAAGAAGTACTAGTTCCTTTTATAGGCCTGGAGTAAAGGCGTGCAGAACCTTCTTTCATGGTGGATATAGCCAAGATGTGTCTCGAAATGCAGTAGTAGGTACTGCACAACTGCCGCGGTCAGCAGGGTTGAGGCTAGTAGGAACATAGTGCCATTGTTCAGGCGTAGAGAACTTCCTTACGTGTTACATTCTGTTGCCAACATACACGTAGAACTGTCTTGTTCGATTGTATATATATCCGAGCACTATTTTGCTGTCTGTATAAAAGTCAAAGGAGTCTATTTCAACATCTACTTCAAGTTCTATAAGCTCAGCAATATTACCAGCTAACACAGCTGCACAAAGTTCAAGCCTTGGAATAGTATTTTCAGGTTTGGGTGTGAGCTTGGTCTTGCCCATTATAAATCCTACACCCACTTCCACGCTGGGATCTGTAGCTCAAAGATAAGCCACCGCAGCAATGGCTTCGTTGGATGTACCAAAAAAGACATGAATCTCCCTTCTGGTGGCATTCTTTAAGGATGCTTGGGTGTAAGAGAGTGGTATCTGGAGTTGTTCTAATGCTTTTAGAGACTGTTTCCAGGATTCCCACCTTTTGTTGTTTCTTCTTGGGTAAGGGGGTATCCCAGTCTGAGCTTTCAGAAGTAAGTTGTCTCAGCAGTATCTTACCCTGAATGGTGAGAGGTGTAATGAAACCTAAGGGATCATAAATGCTGTTCACTATAGACAAAACTCCTCGCTTTGTGAAGGGCTTGTCACAGGCTGATGCTTGAAATGTGAATGTGTCTTGTTTAACATTCCAAAGCAATCCAAGACTGCGTTGTGTAACAGAAAGGTCAGTTCCTAGTTGGAATTTCTTCACATTGACAGCATGGTCATCTGAAGTAAAGGCTATCATAACCTTGTCACTGTTAGAGATGATTTTGTGAAGTCTGAGGTTTGCAGTGGCAAGCATGTTCTGGGTTCTAGTAAGAAGGTCAATAGCTTCTTCTTCAATGGGCAGAGATTTGAGTCCGTTGTCTACATAAAAATTTCAGTTCGAACTGTCTTGCATCAGATCCAAATTCTTTCTCACCCTCTTGAGCTGTTTTCCTCAGTCCATAAATTGCTACTTCAGGAGAAGGACTGTTACCGAAAACATGTACCTTCATACGGTAGTCTATGACTTCATCGTTGACATCATTATTTCGGAACCTGAGGAAGTTTCTGTAGTCTTCCCGGGCGATGAAACAGTGGAATATCTGCTGAATGTCAGCCATTACAGCAATTGGCTCTTGTCTGAAGCAAAGTAAAACTCCTATGAGATTGTTGTTCAGATTAGGCCCAGTGAGAAGATTGTCTTTGAGGGAGACACCTTCATGACGAGCACTTGAGTCAAAGACCACCCTAATCTGATTAGGCTTGCAAGGATGGTAGACACCAAAGCATGGTAGGTACCAACATTCTTCTCCTTCCGTAAGAGGAGGTGCAGGCTCAGTATGATCTCTCTTAAACACCTTCTGCATAGAGTCCACAAAGTGCCTTTTCATCTCAGGCTTCTGGTTCAAACTGCGATTTAAAGAAACAAACCATGATTCTGCGTGTACCCTATTGTTTGGTAGTCTCTTTCTTGGGTACGAAATGGTAGAGGTGCTACCCAACTGTTGGAATCATCTTGGTAGAACTCTTTACTCATGGTTTTCAAGAATTCTTTGTCTCCTATGGTAGCTGCCAACTCATTGCATTTAGTGGTTACCTTGAACACTGT